GATTCCCTGGCACTGAGCACCATGTCCTCCTGACCTCTCATTTGTGAAGGACACTGTCACCTTTCTAGCTATGCTGGCAGAAGGACTCAGTTTGGTTTTGTTTCCAACTACTTCTTTATCCTCCATGTAATCAGTTGCCAAGTCATTCATTCACACATTCACTTATTCAATAAATATTTATTGGGCCTTTTCCATAAGCCAGGTACTGTATCAAACTCTGGGTACACAGTGACGAACAAAACTTACATGATTTCTGCCCTCATCTGCAAATATATAATTACACATTGGAATATATACTTTGAAAGAGATTTCAGTCAGTAGGAGAAAGTACAGCAGGGGACTTAATTTAAAATGAGACGCAGGAAAGAACTCTTGGAGGAAGTGAAAATTTGAACTGAGGCCTGAAAGACGAAAAGGCTCTGTCATGTAGGTAATGAGTGCAGCGCGTTGCTGGCAATGGGATCAGCAGGTACAAAGGCTCGAGGCTGGAAAGGAAGTTCTGAGGAACTGGGGGAAGGCCACGTGGCTACAAGGCTGTGAACTTGCTTGAGTCAAGGCTGGAGCAGGAGATTCCCAGGGGTGTATGTGAGCCCCTGAAGGGGTCTGAGCAGGAGAGGCGCAGGGTCGGACCACCCTGGCTGCTCTCAGAGAACGGACTGTGTGGGCAGGAAGAAATCAGAGACCCATCCGGGGGCTGCTCAGGTGGTTCTGGTGACAGATGTTCAGTGGCCGTGGTGATGGAGGAAAGTGGTGTATCTGACGCACAATTTGGAGGTGGTGTTGATAGGACTTGGTGATGGGGGTGAGGGGAGAGAGAGAAAGGGATGTGGCAAGGCTGCTTCTTAGGCTTCTGGCTTGAGCAGCTGTGTAGATGAAAGTGGCCTCGGAACCTACCTTCCAAAAGAGCCTCTACTGCTGTATCAGCTCCCAGTACAGTGCCAGCCACACCACTCCCCTTTCAGGTATCTGGGATGGCTCCCTATCACCTGCTTAAGCACACACTCCTTGCCTTGCCTTTCAAGGCTCCACGACCCATGTTTCCAGTCTTATTTCCCACCACTTCTCCACTTAGGTTCTGCTTCGGTCCAACTGGACCACTTCCTGTTCCCTGAATGTGTAACCACACGTCCCTGCCTCGGTGTCCCTGGCTCATCCTATTCCTCCGTCTCACCATCTCCATCTGCTGAAACCTTATTCAACGACTTTCAAAGTTCATTAAAGGTCCAGTGTTTAAATCTCACAAAGCTCTGTAACTCTCTGATGGCACTTAGACTTCTGCCTGTTACTGTGGTTATGACAGTACTTATCTTGTGCCCATTCCCTGCCCCCAACAGACCGTATGTCATACCTTCGGGTGCCCGGCCCTATTACTCATTCTGCACCACTGCCCTTGCCCTCACAAGGGTCAAGTACAGGGCTTCACCCACAGTAGGTACATTTTACTGAATTCGTTTGGGGCAATTCATGTTATTAATTATGCTAAGGAACGATGAGACCCAAGTTTTTGAGGCCGAGATGTTTTCCAGTAGCATCTGCCAGCACCAGAGCTCACAGCAGAATTTATCTTCCACCAAAACTCCTGGCAAACCATATGCAACACAAACCATGCCTCCCACAACAGTCCTCTGCCTGCTCAAAATACTCCAGTGCAGCAGTGCTCGTAAGCTTACCCTTTCCTTGAAGTACGGAATATTAAAAATTACAGCCTCTAACTCAGGATTTTTCAAACTGCTTGTTGTAACCCATTAATGGGTCATGACATCAATTTAGCAGGTCATCAACAATACTAAAAAATAAAATAGAAAATAGCCAAAAACACTGCCTATACTCAGGATGAGTAATGTTTCCTGAAACTTTTGCTTCCAATGCAAGCATTCACCTATGTGTATAATGGGTCATGATGTAAAACATATTTCTTATCATGGGTCTCAGTTAAAAAGGTTTAAAGGCTGGGTGGCCCACCTCAAGATCGGCACACAGAAGTCAAGTAGGGAGAGTAAGATGTTAAGGAAAAAGTAATGAGACTATCTAATTAAAATAGTAATGAGGGGGTAATCATATGATTCAGTAATGATAATAATATTTGGAGAATAACAAGAGATGTTAGCAAATGGGGAAAACTAAGCCATAAAGAATCTGAGAGCATTTTGTTTATTCCAAAGATCATAGGATACAATGATGTTTCAAAAAGTTTAGGTATCGGGACTTCCCTGGTGGCGCAGTGGTTAAGAATCCGCCTGCCAACGCAGGGGACATGGGTTCGAGCCCTGGTCCGGGAAGATCCCACATGCCGTGGAGCAACTAAGCCTGTGCTGTGCGCCACAACTACTCAGCCTGCGCTCCAGAGCCCGTGAGCCACAACGACTGGGCCCGTGTGCTGCAACTACTGAAGCCTGAGCGCCTAGAGCCCATGCTCCGCATCAAGAGAAGCCACTGCAAGGAGAAGCCTGAGTACTGCAACAAAGAGCAGCTCCGGCTCGCCGCAACTAGAGAAAGCCTGGGCGCAGCAATGAAGACCCAACGCAGCCAAAAATAAATAAATAAATAAAAATTAAAAAAATAAAGTTCCCTTAAAAAAAGTCGAGTACAATTAAAAAAAAAAGTAATGAGACTATCCCTTTAAAATGTGAATGTCTGATATCAATATATAATACCTAACCCTTCCCTCAGGGTACCTGCATTTAGGTGCTTTTAACCCACATTAATCTCATTAGTAGAAAGTGAAGAAAGTGAGTCAGAAATCATTTCGGACTACAGGCCTTCCTTGGTACCTCAAGCAAGGATTTCCTCCAGTATCCCAGCTCCCCAAGAGAGCTGGTTCAGGACCTCCATTGCTGAAAAGCTACTGGTTTCTAGGTTACAATACACGGAGTGATAATACCTTTGTAAGAGAAACATATTTACAACCAGAATGCACATTTTTCCACACACTTGGCAACAAGCTTATCAATTTATGTTTCTATGTATGTATTTAACATAAACCTAGAAAATACAGTCCTATACATCCACACGCAAGACCTATGCCTGATCTGAGGTAATGTGAACCCCAAGTTGATCTAAACGTGAGATATACTGTGAGGTACTGAAGGCAACAGCGCATGTGGGATAGGAAGGGGGGATGTGGGAAATGGTACAATGGACAAGGGGGCTCAGGAGTGTGGTAGATGTATTATGCCAAGTGTTTATTACTTTGATGCTTGGTGGTAATGAGAGGATGAGGTTAGAAGGGTGGGATACGGAGAAAACAATTTTCTAGACAGCTGTATGCACCATGGTAGTATACAGTAGTCCACCAGGAGTGCACAGGCCGTATTTGATTATGTCAGCACTAAAAGGACAGATTCCAAGTCCTAATTCCAGCCCCAGCTCCATTTAACAGGTTGCCCCTTATAATTTGTTGCTTCTTGTGTTACATTCTCAATTTATAGTTGAGACATCAACAGTGAGCTTCCTAAGGAATGAAATGTAAACACTCTTAATTGCCAATTAGAATACCAACAAATAACTGGGCCAGAGACAAGGATGAAAAAGTGGGAAGTTCAAAGTTGGTATGGTGCAGAGAACCTTAGATTGAGGTACTGATAAATTTGGGTTAGATCTGGGTGACGTGACATGAAGCCAAGTTACACAACCAAATGTTCTGTCCGCCTCTAAAGTTTTACAGTTCTACAAGGGAGGGAAAAGGTGACCTTCAACTCGAAGAAAGGAAGATTATATTGGTTTGGTGTGTAATAGGCAAGTGACAATGACATTACCCAGGGCTGTTTAAATATGAATTAATGCCTCTCCCATTATCTAGATCGGGTTAGGTGATACATGTGAGTGTCTCTACTGACTACTGGATAACTTCCAAATTTCTTTCCCGGCATTTAAGGCTTTCCACATCTGCCCAACTTATCTCAAATCTCTTGTGGTTCAGACCCACTCTTGCCCCCCAGTCTTGTGTGCTTAGTTCTTCCCCACCCCCACCCCTACTAATGTCCCATAACCTTCCTAAAACCTTCCAGCTACTCAAATATTTATGTATCAGCTCTTCACCTTTGAATTCCTACAAGACTTTACAACAGTCCTATCAGATAGGCATTATCGTCCTCATTTCATAAATAAGAAAATTGAGGCTCAGAGAGGTTAAGTGATTTGCCCAGGGTCCCACAGTTTGTAAGCAGCAGCAGGGCTGGGTCTGATTTGTTTGCCTTCCAAGTCCACACACTTTTTTTTTTCTCTCATTGTGCCATGCTGCTTCCGTGTATTAAAAAACCACGGAGAAAGGATGCAGTAAAAAAGCCTATAAACCAGTTATAATACAGTTTGTTGTGACATAAATGCAGATACAAAACATCCTTTGAACCACGTGTGCAATAAACGCTTGGGGTAGCATGGATAGTTTTTAAGAAGTTGCCACTCTTGTTTCCCAAGCCCAGTATTAAAGCGATATTCCGGGGTAAATGACAGGTGTATGGCTAAGGAAAAGAAAAAGCAATATGGTATAAGAGGAAAATATTAGAAGCGGGACAAAAAGATGAAGGTGTAATACAAGCTGGGAATGCACAAGAGACACTCAGTATATGCAAGTATGGAGTATGGTGCTGAGGGGGCCCATAGGACTAAAATATCTAAGTTAGGGGGCCTATAACTGCCAGTAAGAAGCGCACGCGTGTGACGGTTGATATTAATAACAGCAGTACACATGGACAGAAAGGAGAACTCCAGAAAGAGACAAATAAGGACAGGTTGCCGGGACACAGGGTAGAGCATGGCAGGATGAGAGGGTGGTGGCGCCTAATGAGGGGCGAGAAGGGTACAGCAGGGGTCGAAGGGAAAGGTGAAGAGGTTCAGAGGGCACGGCGCCCCCAGACTCGGGACTAGACTCGTCTTCCTCTCCACAGCTGGTTGGTGTGTTCTAGGATTCATATCTGCACCCCACAAAGCCCTCCCGGTGGCTCCGGGAAGAGGGGGCGGTCACTTCCCCGTTCCTTAGGGACTCCGCGAGGGGTCCTTACCTAGGAAGATGGAGATGATGAGCCGCAGCGCCTGTTCTGACGCGCCCAGGGACGTCGCCAACTTGTTAAGGCTCAGGTCCTGGAAACCGCACCGCAGCACCGTCGCCAGCTCCACCACCGCTCCCACGTCCCCCTCGGCTGCGGACGCCATCTTAGCTCCGGGCGCCCCCCGGGGACCCCTCAGCTCCGCGTGCCCCAAATGTGGGCACAACGCTGGAGCTTCACCCCCAATTCCGGCCCGGAGCCCGCCCACGGCGTGCGCATTGGCTGCAGGACCGCCCAGCGGCTCCGGGATCAGCCGATCATTGGTCGGCCCGGGCAGGGGGCGAGGCCTCACGCCGCAAGGTAGGCAGGGGGCGGGGCCGAACGTTTGTAAGGCAAAGGTGACTCGGGACGAGAATGAACGCGGGGCCGGCACGGGGCGGGGCTCGGAATCGGGAACTAGACCCTTGATTGGAAAAGTCAGAAGCCGGCGGCGCGGCGACGGTACAACTCAGTTCTACCAGCTCGGGGGAGGAGTCGGGGCGGGCGAGAGTCCGGCCGGCTCGAGCGCTGCCTCCCCATTGGCTGAGACGGAGCAGGCGAGAGTCAGGGCGGGGGGGCCGTCACCCGACCGCGAGGTTACTCTCGGTCGCCGGCGCGCCAGGGTTACTGGGGCATGTAACGGGAGGGCGGGAATTCCTGCCGCTGCCTCGCGAGCGCCCCCTAACGGCGCCTCGGCCGTTTTTGAACCGTTAGACACGCCGCCTTCCCTCCCCGAGGGTGGGGAGAGCCCAGCGCCCAGCGCCCAGCGCCCAGCGCCCAGCGCCCCCAGCACTCTTTGCCTGCTCCTTTGATTTCATGTAACTTCCTGTATTAAAACTACCTACCCCCGAGAGGCGATGAAGTTAAGATATGCTGATTTAGTCCTTATGATTTTAATTAAAAATTAAACTAGTTTGTCACTATTCAGGTAATACAGGTTCAAGATCAAAGTGCAAAGAGGATAGAGACTGAAGATAAAATAAAAGTCCTTTCTTCCCACCTTGCTTCCCATTCTTACTTCCACTGTTCAGATTAGGCTAACGAAAAGTGCCAGGGCCTGTGCTGGGCTCTGAGCCCAAAGCTGTGGAGTGGGGATGGCACACGGTCATATAAAGCGTGTAATTGCAAGAGAAAGGGACAAGGTTCCGTGAGAATACTTAACAAAGGAACACTAAGAGTTTCCAGTAACCACTGGAATTCATGGAGCATTCTTGTACAATTACAGCTAATATTTCTATAGCACTTCGCGCTTTATGCAGCTCTTATACCCATATTATTTCGCTTAATTGATTATGAAACAGGATATTTATTATTACAATGTCCTCTTACAGACACAGAGGCTTGGAGAAATTAAGGAACTCGCTAAGTTCCTTCCCTAGTAAGTGGCAGAGACAGAATTGAAACCTTAAATTTCACCTCCCTCCTCTTTTGGGGGGAACAAAATTAAAAAAAAAAATCAAAGAAGTCAAGAATAATATAACATCCCCCAGATTAAGAAACAAACATCACATGTACAGCTGAAGAGCCTGGTGTATCCCTTCCACAGGGCATTTCCCTCCTTTCCTTCTCAGAGGTCACCTCCTTTCTGACTTTGGTACTTATCAACCCCATGCCTATTATACTTTACACTCTGTATATATCCAGAAGCAATTATAATATAGTTTTGCATGCTTTTAAAGTTTATATTTATGGTTACAATGAATGTATCATTTTGCAACTTGTTTTTATGCTTAACGTCTTTATTGAGACATTCATGTTTCTACATGTAGCTGTAATACAGTCGTTTTAACTGTGAAGTAACATTGCACTGTATGATTATACCACAATTATTTTTCATGATTATGTTGAGGAATACTTGGATCACTTCCTATTCATGTATTTCTTTTGTTACAAACATGGCTGCTGTGGACATTCTCCTTCAAGCAACAGTGAAAGTTTCTCTAGGGCTGTAACTCCAAACGGTTTTTTTGTTTGTTCGTTTTTTTTAATTAACTGGGGTCTATTGTAGGAAACACATTGCTATCCAGTATACACACATGCTCATACACTACGCAACTAATATGTACACGCATGCGTGCAGCGTGTGTATGTGATGTTCTCTTATATTTTCTATTCTATTTTAATTCATTAAAAAAAATTACTCATCAGGATCCACTAACTTGATATCACTACTTGCTCAGTGTAGAAAACACCCCTCTAGGGTTTATAACCAGGAGGGGAATCATGAGTTTTAAGGTTTGCACACCTTCAATTTTACTAGATTTTGCCTAATTGAAGTGTTTGGCTAAATGTTATTTAAGACCCTTAAAATCTTTGATTTGCTGAATAAGTAAAATATATTTATTAAAGCATCTAGTTAGTTAGACCCTATTTAAAAATAGACGAAGTCAGTTTCTTTTTGTTTTGTGCAATTAGGTAATATGTCTGCCCCTTCTTACACCTCTGGTTTTCCAAGACAAGAGTCTGTGTGGCAAGAGGCTGTGTCTCCGTTGACACAACAGGTTCCTGTTTGCCTTTCCCCTCAGGTGTTTGATCAGCTACATTCCCTTCATTCTTCCTACTGTTCCGACGATGCAGCACCTGTTTCTCCAGTTACACTAGCTGCTGAGCTGGTGAGTGGGAGAAGATTAAGATTATATGGCCTCTTACTTTATAAGGCAGCACATTCATGGAGGGCTTAGTAAGTCAGGTTCTGTGCTGGTCCCTCGATGCAAAGATCCATAAGAGACAGTCCCGGCCCACAGGAAGCTCTGTGTATGGGGGAAGAGAGACATGAAAAGATAATTTAAACCAAAGTGGTTGTGTCTGTATAGAAATAAGCATCAGGTATTAGTGAAATCCCTCCTCTCTCATTACTGCTTTTCCCTGCCCTGCCCTTCCTTCTTTAGCAAGTTCAGTATTTCCTTCTACTCCCTTTCCTCTGGCTCATTGACCTCTACTATCTATTACTATCTGCAGGGCTTCCTACCTTAAAACACCTTCCCTTTCTCTGAGGTTACTGGCCTCTTTTCCCTCCCTACCGTACTTGTGGAGAGACAGTCTGGTCGGAGTTCACTCAATATCCAGGTATGGGTTCAACTTCTCAACCCCCTTGCAGTAAGCTTGAGACCACATGACTAGTTATGGCCCATGGACTGTAAGCAGAAATGAAGCGTCATTTCCTGGCCCAGGAGGTACACAGCTAGTGTGACTCCAAAATCTCTCTCTTCCCTAGATAGTAGCACATACAGAGGCCATGCGTCCTGTCTGGTATAGTATGAGATGGAGGAAGCTGCCCAACTGGCATCTTGCTCAACACTTAGCTTAAGCGAAAAATAAACATTTGTGGTATTAAACCCCAAGATTTAAGGTTACTGCTTTAACTTACCCTGACTAAGACACTTACCCACCAGTCTTTATACCCATTAGAGCTTGGTACTCATTTTCACCATTTATGAAACTATTCACACAAAGGCCACCAACTATTCCTTAATAGTTACATGTACTCTCCCTTCTCCATCTCTCTTTTTTTTTTTTGCGGTTCGCGGGCCTCTCACTGCTGTGGCCTCTCCCTCTGCGGAACACAGGCTCCGGACTCGCGAGCTCAGCGGCCGAGGCTCACGGGCCCAGCCGCTCCGCGGCATGTGGGATCTTCCTGGACCGGGGCACGAACCTGTGTCCCCTGCATCGGCAGGTGGACTCTCAACCACTGCACCACCAGGGAAGCCCTCCATCTCATTTTTAATAACCTTGTTTTTTTTTTGCCCGCACTGCCCAGCTTGCAGAATCTTAGTTCCCCCACTAGGGATCGAATCCGCACCCCTGCAGTGGAAGTGCAGAGTCCTAACCACGGACCTCCAGGGAATTAATTCCCTCCATCTCATATTCTTAATTTTCAAGAACTCTTTATGCTGAGATAGCATCTTTTTTTCCCCCACAGCATTCTTGTTTTATGGATGAACTTTGCTATACTAGCCTTCTGGGAAGATTAATTAGGGATTTGGGGGGATTTTTTATTTGTTTACTTATATTTCTTCTTTTATTCCCTGCATTTTTCCTTTTCCCTCAGAATTTCTGCTTTCCTTTTGTTTCTTTTATCTCTTTTAAGATGCTGACTATCCTTTCTAATACAAACAAGGCATTACAAAGTTGATTGGATATATAGGGCTTGTTGACTGGTGAATTTCCCTGGAGGGGATTGGGCTGGGGGCTCCCCTTTGACCGAGAAACTTCCAAATGTCTGTATGTGGAGGGTTTATTTAATTTTTATTTATTAAAAATTTTTAAATTCTATTTTAGGGCTGCATTGGGTCTTCGTTGCTGCACTCTTCGTTGCGGTGGGCGGGCTCAGTAGTTGCGGTACCCAGGCCCTGGAGTGCATGGGCTTCAGCAGTTGTGGCTTGCGGGCTCTAGAGCGCAGGCTCGGTAGTTGTGGCGCACGGGCTTAGTTGCTCCACGGCATGTGGGATCTTCCTGGACCAGGGATCGAATCCATGTCCCCTGCATTGGCAGGCAGATTCTTAACCACTGCACCACCAGGGAAGTCCCTGGAGGCTTTATTCTTTAGGATTGTTTGGTCTCTTCAGAGAGGAGTCTGCCAGTCTCCTGCCTGGAAGATGTACGTCTGTTTTATAGGTGCACATCTCTCTCTTGTTCCATGCAATGCTTGATGTCTTTGGGTCCAGGGTCTTTCCTATCCATTTTCTCAGAGAATATAGCATCAATTCTCTGCCTGGCGGTGGTGGGGTTGGGTACGTCCCTGGCTGTGCTAGGTAGGGAGGGGGCTTGAGGGTCCACCTTTCTGGAGTCTAGGCTTTCAGGCCGTTCCTCCTGTTTTGACTCCTTGTCAGGTACTTCCCCTGGGCTGTATCATCACTACACCCACCTTCTTTCCATTTTTCAAAACTGTGTTTAAATGTTTCATCTGCTCTTCTTCCATTCACTTTGTTCCTATAGATTTATACCTTCTCCGCCCCACCCTTTACTATATTTTAGTGGGATTTTAGGCACAAGAGGCAAGTTAATTTGCCATCTTTATGAGAAGTTTTCCTCTTTGTTTTAAAGTATTTTTCTTTTCTTTTTTAAATTCTTTATTTGTTTATTTATTTATTTTGGCCACACCATGTGGCATGTGGGATCTTTTTTAAA